CACACAAGTGTCACGAAGTACTGTTCAGCCTGGTACCTGTCAGAAGGCTGTGGTTGTCTGCCTGGGGGACTGCATAGAGGAAAGGCTCTGTAGGTGAGGCCTTGAGCAGTAGGTAGGATTTGAGGAGGTGGAAAATAGAAGGGGGTATTCCAGCCATTGAGTGCTGCCTGAGCAGAAGCACGGAGCTGGACGTGCAGATGTTGGATAGGAGACTGGGAGGGGGATGGACAGCAGGGACTCCGGCATGGCTGGGTAAGGGGTTTCAGAAGAGTAGTGCTGGCAAAGTAGACCGGCCCCTGAGTGTGAGGTGCCTCGAGTGTCTCCTAGCACAGGAAGGAGGAATAGACCCCACTCGGAAGACACGGTGAGAGTTTCTGCTAAACTGCAGACAATAGAGATGAGGCCAAGGCTTGCTCACTCGGTACAATTAAGGCCTCTTTGGGATGACCAAAGATAAGAGGCCTTACTATACCTGGGACTCCTCGAGTTCTGGGTGAATAGGTGTGCGGCCATGAAGAGGAGAAAAAGCAGCAATTGGCAAAACCCGTTTCTTCTTTTTGCTTTTTGGCAGAATTAGTTCCTGGTGTGCCATGGCATTTTGACTTTTATCCCTATTGGACATCTACTGTATGCTAATTAACCTTTTGAAATGATCTATTGTCCTATTATATAATTTAAGTATAAAACTTAAATTATAAAATTAACACATAATTTTGTATATCCTCTTGTTATATAAATAAATTATATAATTTAATTCTCCCTTCAGTCCTCTAAGAGTGGTATTCTAATGGCTGTTTCCCAGATGGGCTCATTTCACAGAGCCAAGGCTTTGAGAGGTTAAGTAACGTGTCCCCCATCATAGACCTTTGTGAATATATCAGAGTCAACAGTCAGCCCTGTTCACCTCTGTGCTTCTCTCTGTTCAGAGTGGAAAGCTCTGGAAGGTGATACATACAGAGGCAACACAGCTCTGCTTTATTTGGCTTGTGAGAAAGAGGAAAGAAGGCTCCCCAGCAGCTGCTGTGTGGGGAGTTAAGATGGGGTATAGGAAGAATGTACCCAGAGGTCCAGTTGCCATTATTTGGCAGGAATTACTGTATGTTAGGAAATAGCAATAAAAGTCACACTGCCCTGGGTCACAGGTTTTGGTGTAGATTGACATGTTTTACATGTGGAATACAGAAGGCCGAGTCTGGTCTGAGAGGCAGAGCTGCGCGGCCAGACACATGAGCAGACGTGTCCACAAAAGGGGAGATGGAGACAGCCTGCACCTTAGGACTCTCGCTCCCTGACCATGGAGTTGCCGAATGGAAGGCATTTCTAGCATCTGTTTGTAGAATGGATATCTAAGTGAGGCTGGGAAATATGTGTGTGGCTGTAGGTATAGGAGAAGTAGATCGTGTCTGCCTGGCTTGGGAAGATGAGAAGTGGTCAGAGTGGGTGAAGCGGCCCAGTCTTGCAGCATTCTAACTAGACCCCTGTCTGTGGTGCACAGGATCCTGGTCTTCCTCTTCTGTTCAGCTCCTGGCTGTGTCTGTCACGGCAGGGTCAGTGAATTAACAGTTGGTGGTCTGTGATCTGAATATTAGGTGGGTGGAAAATTGCTTGAGATTTTAAAAAATGAATATTTAGGATGGTCACATATATAAATAACAAGTCCAGAATATCAGAAGTCACCATCTTTAAGGTGAATATTTACGGAACCAATAGATGGAGAAGTTTTTTTGTTTGAAGTTATAGAAGATCCTAATTCCCAACCATTTTGTAGTGGTGTATAAAGGTTCATATAGCAAACCCTCCCCCTCCCCCCTCACCACGCGTCCCTGCTCCAGTCTGGGCTTTTCCCTTTCTTTTCTCCACCCTCCTCTTGCCCTCCTTGAAGCTTGCCCACATGCCCAGAGCTGCTTGGAAGCAATTTAGATTCCCTTCCAAGGCATCAATTCACCACTGCTCGGCACACAGGATCCTTGTGGTTAGATACTCAGTTCTCTTCAGGCGATTTGGAAGTGGCCACTTCTGAAAACGTGAATATTTGATAATAAAGTCAGGAATAAAGAGATGAAAAATCTTTTGTTATTGCCTCATGTTGGAATTTGTACGAATTTGAAAAAGTCTGTGCTCTTTCATCTCCCGAGTTTAGAACAGCGGTCTCTGTGTTCTGGTTATTCAGACAACTTTGTGGCAACAGTGCGCCCTCCTCTGGCATGAGGTTACGTCTCCATATTGTACCACCCTACTTCTGTTAACAGTGCGCCCTCCTCTGGCATGAGGTTACGTCTCCATATTGTACCACCCTACTTCTGTTAACAGTGCATCCCCCTCTAGTCTGTGAGTAGCAGGGCTGACGGGAGGGAGGGGAAGGAATCTATATTTCCTGATTGTTTACCATGTGCCAGGATTAGGGCCTAGCTTCTTTATACATGTGATCTCATTTATAGAGAATATTATTCTTATTTTATTAATACAGAAATAGAATCTCAGAGAAATTAATAAATTTGCCAAGGGGCACAGAGCTAGCAGTATTATTCAAGATTTGAACCAAGACTTAACTCCACAAAGTCCATGTTTTTTCATTATGCTAACTATGCTAGGGATGTATAGGGTCCAGGATCATCATGAGGATGAGGCCTAGAAGAAATTCCAGGGTATTCTTCATTTTCTTCAGTCCTACACTGCTCCATTATTTCTCTCCAAGTGAAATCAGCTTAATATAAACATCAGAGATTGTCTTGACAGAAAAAATAAAGAAAGCATTGTTTAAGGTTGTTGTGGGAGGAGGACCCTAGAGGATAGCATGAAAGAAAGAAAGGAGCAATCCTACTTTGTGTGTGGAGGAGGTGGGGTTGGAGGCGAAGGGAACTTTGTCCTGTAGATGTACGCGTGAACCTCAAAGAATGTTGAGATTCTGTCAGGCTCCAGTAAGCCATCTCCTTGGGTCCTAGCCCAGCTCCCAGGAAGTCATCGACTTGATGCACTAGAAAACCAGAAGAGTTTCTAGAAGAGTCTGAGAGATCACATTCTCTGAAAAGAAAGAAAAAGAAATGGAAAAAAACCAGATGAAGGAAAAGAAGCTTATGAAACTGACACCGAGATTGGGTTCATGAGGCTCCTGTCTTTGGGCCGGTGCAGATGTTTATTGTACTGCTACGTAGTGTCAGGCCAGTGCAGAGGACCTGGTAGAGCTAAGAGTAAGGCCTTAGAAATTTGTAGGTGGATGGGAACAAAATAAGGACCAGCATCTCTTCTATCAAGTGGAGCAGGGGGTCATAAGGGAGGAAGCTGTGTCAATGGAGATAATAGGATTGACATGGGTTTTATTCTGATCCATTATTAGGATGTTTTGTGACCCTGAGCAAGTTATCTTAGGACTCTGGAACTCAGTTTCTTTATCTTCAAAATGAGCACCTTGCCAGGGATATTGTACTTTGCAAGAATCTTGCAATGGCAGATGTATGATAAATGTTTGACATGTAGTAGACTTTAGCAAACTGTCACAATTTGATGATTAAGTGCTGTGACTGCCTGATTCTGCTTCCTTATTTGCAGGAGCGAGGCATCTCTTACCCTGCTGCAGCTGGTATGGGGCTGGAATCTCAAAGCCTAGAGGAGAATAGAACTAAAGTCTTTTTTATTTTTTTTAAGATTTTATTTATTTGAGGGAGATACAGATAGTGAGAGAGAGAGAGAGAGCAGGAGTGGCGAGGAGAGGGAGAAGGCAGGCTCCCCTCTGAGCAGGGAGCCCGATGTGGGACTCGATCCCAGGACCCTGGGATCACAACCTGAGCCAAAGGCAGATGCTCAACTGACAGCCCTGCAGGCGCCCCAAGAACAGAACTAATTTCAAAGGTGCAAGTTCATGAGTCAAGTGGTCAGGCAAAAGGTGGGGGGCCAGATCCAGGAGGAGGAACATCTGAAAGCAGAGTCTGGGCCAAGATGCCAACTGGAGACCCAAGAGAGCCACAGCTGTCAGGCTTAGCAGAAGAGCAGGTCAGAAGAGTCTCGAGTGTCTCTGTGAGCTCCCCCAGCTTACTTTCAGTTAGTTAATGGGGCAGGGGGCTGTGTATCCCATGTGGGTTTGAGGTCGTCACAGAGAATAGACAAATGTAATCGCTGTCCCTCATGCACGCCTTCCCTCCCGGTGGTCAGTGTGGTGGACGAGTAAGGGGTACCAGAAAGCAACTCAGAGGCTGAGGGCTCAGGTGATAGGTTCTCCACTATGAGCTTGATTCTGGTCAGAGAGAAACTAGCTCTGAATCCCCCAGGGTCTGCATGTTTACTTACTAATTGGGATGTTTTTTATTCTTACTAAAAATTACATTTCTTTGTCTTGAATGATTTTTTAAAATACAGAAAATAGAAATAAAAAGAAATCACCTGTGATCTCACCATCTAGATGTAACAACCATTAATATTCTTGTGTTCTCGCTAGACTTTATTCTGATGCATATCAATGTACATATTCATGTTTAATAATGGGATTAGACAATACTTGATGTTTTGTGAGACTTTTTCATTTAAGATGTCATTGCTGTTTTTGTTTTATGAGATACATCATATTCTCTTGTATGAATTTATGTAATTCCCTCTTGGGACATTTACCCTTTATCTAATTTTCTGCTATTATAAATTTTGTGGTAAACTCTTTCTTGGTAAGTTTATGAAGATGTACACAATTCTTCCATGAAGTAGATCGCTCTGTCAAAGGATAAGCAGAATTCAAAGGTTTTTTACTTCAACAAATGGTATTCCAGAAGGGTGGTATAAAATTGGCACGCCTGCCGGCAGGTGTGCACAAACACCCATTTCCTCAGAGCATTGGCAACAGTGCACGATACCATGATGGGGGAGCGTCTCTAGTTTGGTAGCTGGAAACACTACATGTGTTTTAATTTTACATGCTGTTGATTTATGACGGTAACTCCAGCCCTCAACACTAGTCTCCCATACATTTGCCATTCCTTCCTTCTTTCCTCCCTGATGGTGGTTTTCTGTTTTTGCAGTATTGCTGGGAGCCTGGTGTATTCCTACATCACTTTCTCAGAAGAGCAGTTGAGCAAACAGTCAGAGACCAGTAACAAGCTGGACATTAAGGGGAAAGGAGCAGTATGACCAGAGGATTGCTTCGACGACGTAGGCCCAAGTTTTTGATCAACTGAGAACACTGGCAATTCTTACACAGACACTGAGGGGTGTCTTGATTGTGGAGAAAATAACCATTCCTTTGCACTTGTACAATCTGAGGATTGATTGCTGCCTTTTAAAATTTTATGAGAGAAACTTATAATTGACTCTATTTTAAATATGCCATTGGAACTAATTTATATCAAACTGGAAAATGTACCAGGCTTTTTAATTTATTTCTTTTATGCCGACAATGAAACATCGGTGTTTTGAAAATATTGTATCCCATAGTTTGATATCCAGGTGTCCCTTAGAAGCTGCATATATACAGTGCTCCAACTGGAGCCTCCTCATTCAAATTGTTGCTGCATATAGAGGGAGGTTAGCCTTCCCTCTGCTGGAAATGCAGCCAAGTATCTAAAATTTCTCCTTTTTAAATTTTATTTCTTAACAATTGCATTTTCTTCATAAGGATATTATCACTGCCTTTGCTAAAGATGACAGCTTTGGCACTAAAAAACTATGTGGGCTTAGAAGTTGTATTGGTCTCCACGTTGGCTTCCCTGAGAACCCCTGGGATGGGCACAGTGCATCCCTTGAAATTATGCTATTCCCTCTTTGTTGTGTAGGATGGCGATAATGAAGGGATGGAGAAAGTAGGCCTCTTACTCATTTATTCATCTGTAGGATTCATTCATTCAGCTCAAATGTACTGGGTATGTAATAATGTACCTGGCATTATGCTAAGTGCTGGGGGTACAGAGATGTTTTTGGAGATAGTTGAATGATCTCACTCCTGCTGTTGTGACCGAGGGTTAAGAAAGAAAACTTAACTTGATGATCCATTCAGAAGTTCTGAACAAGTCACAGAAATTTTTTTCAGCTCTTAGAAACTGCAAGTCTGTAAATGGGCTTGGAAGCACCTGCCCTTACCTACCCCACAGTGATGAAACCAGATGCTACAACATGAGATGACATGCATGTGAAGAGCTGCATTTTATTTATTTAACAGTTTTTTTTTTGTTTTAATTTTTTTTTTTAACTCTGTACCCGATGTGGGGCTTGAACTCATGACCCCAAGATCAAGAGTCGTATGGAGAGCTGCATTTTGTAAACCATGCAGCTCAGCCCTTCTTCTCTGAGGGAGAATGGCAGGCCAGCAAGGTGGCCACCATCTCTTTCCTGTGCTTCCCTCCTCTGGGTTTGGTTGCTATTCTTTTTACTCCTCTTTGAATTAACACAACTAGGCCTTACATTCCTGAATGTATTGGTTTGAGGGGAAAGCCTGTTCAGATGTTTCTGTATTGTCAAGGCTTGGTCTTTGTCTGTCAGCATTAGAGCTTAAATGGCATGAGCGTAGCCGTCTCCTCTGGATACTCTCACCCACGTCCGGTGTCCCTTGGGCATGTCAGCTTCTCTCAAGACTTCTGTTACCTCCTGGGAGAGCAGCTGTGAATGGGCATTGCCTGAATTGCCTCTCTGGGCAGGGGGGGCTTCCCTCACACACAGCGCTGTGAGCTGGCACAGAGACATCCCCCGACTTTGGGTCTGAGTGTTTGCACAGGCTGGTTGTGCAGTCAGTGCAGAAGAGGCTGGGTACTTTTGCACTGGTACACACTAACTTCTCTTTCGCTGGGTTTGGAACTCACAGGGCTCTATTGATCCAAACAATTAGTATTTTGATGGCTTAACAGGAGGCCTGGAAGGTTTTGATTTCTTTTTATTTTTAAAAAATTATACTGAGGTTATTTTCATATTCGTGTGTTTCCTGTATTTGGATTTGTCTTTACTAAAGCCTGACCAGTGGTATTGGGTCCCTAGAATTAGCCTCATGGCCAACTTCCAAGCTAAAAGCTCCCAAGGCTCCCTTTTTTTAGGGTCATCTGATCTGAGAAAATTCTAGGGTGGGGCATAGGATATTATCTTACGTCAGGTGGTTTTTCTTGTCTTTGTTTTACCAATAAGAAAACAAGACTCAGAGGAAGTAGGTGACTTGCTAAGAAGTAAAAATTCATGTTTCTCCTGCTGAACCATTCTGCCATTGATTAACTGCCCTTTTCCTTTGAGAGTGAGGAAATGGGGGTGCCAGCTGAGTCAGCTTGAGCTCTTTCAAGGAGGCAAGTGCTTGGTTGAATGTGGAGTCAGAGAGGAATACGCTTTGCAAATTAGGGACAGTGGTGCCAGAGCTTCTATCTAGCTTCCAGGTTGGCCTCAGTTGGTATGAACTCTGGCTGTGAATGTTTCCCGCCGTTGCCTGGTTTTGCCCGGATAAGGTGGAAAGGCATCGTGAGAGTTAATTTTAGTGGTTCTGTTCCTCCTCCTACCAAGCCACGTGGAGGGAACTTTGACTTTAGAAATAATTTTAGTTGTAGAATTTCTCATCATGAAAGGCCTCTGGATGTGTCTAGAGCTATTAGGCTAGAACCCCAGTAGGGGTTGAACTGCTTCTTGGGGGTCAGGTTCCTTGAAGATCTGTCATCTTCTCTAGGTTTGAGAAAATCACGTGTAATTACAGCCTCACTAAATGCACATGACCTTAGACCCCCACCCCCACCCCGGGCTAAACTTGCTGACTGGTCAGAAGCAGTAGAGCAAGTTGAAGCTGCTGCCCCGTCTGGGTTCTGATTCCTAGATGCCCCTTTCGACTTCCACCAACATGTCAAGATAAGAGAAAGCAGCATGGGGAAGTTAGAGACTGAATAGACTGGCCAACCATTTTTGGAGTTTTTCAGTTACATGCAGGGTAACTAGTGAACTAGACCTTTACCTGGTGCTCTGACATCACCCAGAATATCTGGATTTTGCCCCAAGGTTGATATTTTACAAGGCAAAAACTCCATGACCTACTAACTACCTCCCGGGAGAAAGAGAGGCAGCTTTATAGTTAAATCCTTAATTTGCCCTTTGAGACAGATGAGCTGTGATGAGAATTTTGAAAACCAGATTCTGTCTAGTGGCTCCTCTTCTTGAGTTAATGACAGCAAAGTCCTCTTTGGCCATTCTGCTTTTTAGTTCGTGCAGATTGATGCAGATAACCCTGGTTGACCAGACTGCACGTTGCCAACGTGTCAGGTGATTTTTAATTGCTTCATGTGGCTGTTACTGGCTTTATAAGTCAGTCAGCTTGCATGTTGGTTTAAAAAAATATGCATCTGCAAGTTTTCTTACAGTCCCGTCGTATCAAGAATCCATGGAAAGTTCAGGTCAGCAACGCTGAAACAGGTTCTTCACGGAAAGACTAGTAGAGTTTCATATTTGACTGGTTTGGAATAGTGCTTAGGATTTTGGACCTGCTTTTGTTATTGTGGTCTTATCAGTGAACAGAGATTTATTGAGCACCATTTTTATGCCAGAGCCTTATGCCAAGCTCTGGGGAAACCACCATGATGAATAGGACAGTTCTTGCTCTCAAGGAATGTGTAATTCTTTAGCCAGACCCATAATAAGAGAAAGGAAGTGAAAGAAGTCAGTGATTTGTAAGTAAGAGCTGTTGGCAGTTACCAGGGATTAGGGGTGCCCCGCCCACCCATAGAGCTGAAGCATTTTTTTTAATCTGAAAGGACTTTTACAATTCCTGCTACTCTTCCAGCTCTGAGAGAAGTGCCAGGCTATTAGAATCGTGTGGCTAGCCTGGGTTCCCCCTCCCTCTATTTCACATATTCTTTCTTCCCCATAACTGTGTCATCCAGGAGTCACCCCTTCTCGGTTTCAGTTACCCGTGGTCAGCCGAGGTCTGGAAGCAGATGCTCCTCCTTCTGACATATCCTCAGAAGGTCGGTAGTAGCTTCACGCTACCTCATGATGCCTGCGTCATTCACCTCGCTTCATCTCATCATGTAGACATTTTATCACCTCACATCGTCACAGGGGTGAGTGCAGTCCAATGAGATACTTTGAGAGACGCCACATTCATGTAACTTTTATTACAGTATATTATAATTTTTCTATTTTGTTGTTGGTTGTTAATCCCTTACTGTGCCTAATTTATAAATTAAACGTTATCATATGTGTGTATAGGACAAAAGAACGCATAGGGTTCGGTACTGTCTGTGGCTTCAGGCATCCACTAGGGATCTTGGAACACATTCCCTGTGGATGAGGGGGGACTTCCGCATCGGCTCCTCCTTAGGAATGAGGCTGTAATTGATTTTTCCTTCCTTGAGGGAAAAACTATAATATTCACAGTAAATGAGATAATAGATGTAAAACTACTCAGCATGATGCCTCGTACATATTAGGCACCCGGCAAGTGTTGTTACTGTCATAATTTCATGGTGAGGCTGTAGGCAAACTAGATACTTCATCTCTGCTCCTTAAATGCTAGAGGCCTGGGCAGTGGGTATGTTTCTTGAAAAACGTGACCCTGTACTTTGTTGCCTCTGGAATGTTTAAATAACAGTTGTCTTTTCAAAAAAAAAAAAAAGCCTACTGGATATAATTGTGGCCATTATGTGATGCAGGTCATTCCATCTGTTTTTAAAAAAGAACAAAGATACTTACATTTTGGTGGTGAATTTCAGAAGAGAAAAAGTGATTTTCTATCTTCACCTCAGAATGGTGATGCTGGTTACACTTTCCCAGTTTGTCTCCTTAAGGTGTAGCTCCTCTACAGGCTCCACAGGCCAGACATTCCTTCTTCCCTTTTCCAAGTGAAACGCATTGATTGGCTCCGTGAGTTCTGAGTCCACACTTCTCTGGTGCCGTCGCTGTGTTCTGAGCTTGTCCGCTAGGTTTTATATGAGGGCGCCACTTCATGATGGTAAGAAAGGATACCCGGGTTTTTTTAAGCTTTCTTTTTTGCATTTTTAAAAAGAAATCTACTGGTTAGATTTATTGTCTCACAAAAATGTTTTTAGAGATTATTTTGTTCATAGTTCTTTTTCATGCTGATGATCAACTAATTTTTGTCTACAATTGTTGGCCTATCACAGTATTTTTTCAGTACAGATCCTATTTACGAAATGACCATTTTAGTGTTTTTAAAAGGTACTAAGGATTGAGATATGTAAATCAGGTGACAAATATGAAAATTATGTGCCTAAATATTTTTGTAAAGGTGTCAAATAAATACTTTTTCCTGAACACATGTATTAAAATTCCTTTCTAAGTGCATACAAAGAGCTGTAAGTCTGCCCACATTTAAGAGGATGGCATCCAGTTAGTTGATTAAAACCCTGTTATAAACAGTTTGCTACCATGATACTGTGATTTATAATAGAAATTTATATTTGGTCTTTGTTCCTGTTCCTGGCACATAGCTCCTAAAGTTCTTGTACATTATAACAAAAGATATTCCTATAGCTCATATCTATTTTTGTTCCAAGTTGTTGAAATAATTCCATAGCCATAAGGTTGAAATGGGAGTCTTTTGTTACTCATAATGAGCCTCTTTCAACCAACTGCACCTGTTTCTTAATGAGGTGACCTTTGGAGAGCCCCACAGGATGGGTAGGAGCTGGTTGTGGGGGGAACCAACCGTGGTGATTTGTGTCGGGAACTTTCAGGCTCCTCCCCTCCCCTTCTTGGGGAAGGGGAGAGGAACTGGAGGTTAAGTCAGGCACTGATGGCCAGTGATTTAATCAATCATGTCAATATAATGAAGGCTCCATAAAAATCCCTGAACTACAAGGTTCGGACAGCTTCCAGGCTGTTGAACGTGTGGAGGTGCTGGGAGGGTGGTGCTCCCAGAGAGGGCAGGAAGGCTCCATGCCCCTTGCCACATATCTTGCCCAATGCATCTCTTCCATCTGGCTGTTCCTGAGATACATCCTTTTATAAGAAACTGGTAGTTTAAGAAATAAACTTTTTCTGAGTTCTGTGAACTACTCAAAGTATTCAAACCTGAGCAGGTCCTGGGAACCTCTGGTTAATAGCTGGTTGGCCAGACGCACAGGTTAACCACCAGGATTTGTGATTTGCTTTGGAAGGGGGTGGGGGAGGTAACAGTCATGTGGGACTGAGCCTGTGAGTCTTGTGGGAACTCTGGGACCGGA